TAAAGAGGGTGGCTGATCTAGAAGTTGTTTGGCTTGAGGTTATATAATGTGTGGCCTTTCCTCATCCTGGAGTTTTGTTTTTGGTTCGTTTGGTCAGTGGTTAGGTTAATGTGAAAATGAAGATTCTCAGGAGAGCACCCACTGGTAGTAAGAGGAGGGGACCTTGACTATGTCGGGGCACTGGAGAAAACCAGCAGAGGTTTGGCGAATTGACAGGTGGGCAGTAAGGAAATGATTGTGTGGGGCCTAATCCCATTCCCTGGCCACTCCCAAAACCGTGATCTGACCCAGGGACATGGGATGGCAAGAGGCAAACTCTGTCCTATGGCTTTATGGAGGTAAATCTACCAATTTCTCCAAAGTGCTGGGGGAGAAAATGATGAAAGGGAAGGCTGAGGTGGAGGTTTTCTTAAAGACTTGCCAAATTACAAAGCCACAGAATATCCAGTTACTCTCCAGGCCTCTAGAATGTGTGCTTTTCCTTCATCACATCTCTTAGTCCACAGTTACTATCAGTTCCATTTGCTGCTTTTTATTTGACTTGAATAGTAAAACTGTACTAAGTTAATTTCATTTTGTGCTTCTCACGTAAACTAGTTATTCCCTTACAATTAGGAGATCTCTCTATCCAACGGCAAGTGATTCTTTTGTAAACACATGGCCCGGGACAGTCAGTTTGGCTTGTTCTTGTTTGTGTTCTCGGGCCTCATGCTTCCGTGAGGACTGTTGCAGACGCCTGCCTCTGTATCAGCATCCTACCTGCTGTTCACTTACTGTCTTGAGTTCCAGACTTTGGGGGGCCTTCAGACTGGCTGGCTGGAGCCGGGGTGGTGGTGGTAGGAGTTTTGTCACCTCTGAGAGTACTGATGCACTAAGTGGAGGCAGCAAGAACGAAGAATTCCCTACCCTGCTGCACCAGCACAGCTACCTCCCAGATGAGTCCAGGACTCGTGAATTTTTTTGATTTAGCAAGTAAGAGTCATATGGATTGATTCTGGGGACAATAAATATTTACTTTCCAGAATATTCTAAGGCTTAACCTACATGTGAAGTCAACTGTTTGGAAATCTGTGTGAAGCATTTGACTAGAGTAGACTCTTCTCTGTTTGCTATCATGCCATGTAGCTAATTCAGGTCACACTGTAATGAAATCCTTCTCCAGATTTCCCCCATGGCCCAACAGCCATCCTCTAGGTCAGGTTCTCAACCTGTGGGTCGTGACCCCTTTGTAACAATGAACATGCATCGTGGCATTAGGAAGGTTGAGAACCACTGCTCTAGATAGATGTTACAGTCCCTCAGTAGAAGGAGCATCAGAGTTTGGTTTGTTCTGGTTTGTTTAAACCATGGTTAGCTAACATATCTGAGAGTCATATCAAATTGTTCTGTTAAGAACGTACGACGTCAGTGTGGAGGGCAAGGAGGATGGCCAGAACCACAGAGGCTATGACAGCTTGAAACAGGATTCCTATTTCATCGGCTCAGGTTGTTGTAGTCCTGGTGCCTTCAGGTTGTGTCCTCTGCCTCCTGTGACCCAGCTTTTTGCCTGATCGCCAGTATTGAAATGAGGCTCGGTGCTGGGGATTGCCCGAGCTGTGTAGCTGGGGTCCTGTCCGGAGGTGGGCTCTGAGAGTGCCCTGAGCAGCACCCTCCTTGAGGCAGCACTTCCAGGGCCCTGGTCTAGATTCTCCCTGCTGGGCTGTCCTCTTATAACAGCACCCTGTCTTTTTCCTTCATGACACTTTTTAAACAATTTGTAATCATGAATTTGTTGGTTAATCATTTTTATTTCTAGCTCTTTGACTAAATCAAGTCCCATGAAGGACAGGACCCATGTCCATTTAGTCACCATCCTGTGTCTGTTCCTAGAACACAGATATAGAGCCAGCACAAACAGGCTCTCAGGAACTAGATGTCATTTGACTGAATGTTCCTGAGAAGTGGAACCCAAAGAAGGAATGACAAACCATTCATTTTACTTCTCACTATCAAGATAGGAAGCGCAAGGCTTTGTGGAGGGCAGTTTGGTCAGACTGTGGTGGGGGCTGGGCCTGAGTGACAGGCGGTGTGTGCAGGAGCCACCTCCACCTCCACCTCCACCTCCAGCTCCATGCATGAGCTCATCTCCCATGTGGAGGGACACAGTGCAAGTCTTGGGCTTGGATGTGGTTTTGGTATGGGGGCAGGATCTAAAATACTTTTCCCTTCAAAAGAAAGCATTAATATCTGGTAAAAATTGTAGTTTAACAGTGGACTTTGTTTGCACCTGGTTCCAGCCAACCTGTTCTCTTTTTTTTTGAGACAGAGCCTCAAGCTGTCCCCCTGGGTAGAGTGCCGTGGCATCACAGCTCACAGCAACCTTCAACTCCTGGGCTCAAGCGAGTCTACTGTCTCACCCTCCCAAGTAGCTGGGACCAAGGTGCCCGCCACAACGCCTGGCAATTTTTTGGTTGCAGCCGTCATTGTTGTTTGGTGGGCCCAGGCTTCGAACTCGCCACCTTAGGTGTATGTGGCTGGCACCTTAGCTGCTTGAGCCACAGGTGCCGAGCCCCAACCTGTTCTCATGACCCGTCCTCTTCTCAGAAACTTATTCTTTGCATAGCCTCAACCAAGCCACTATTTTCCTTTCTTTGCAGACAAAGGAGAGCTGTTTGTGTGGGGCAAGAACATCCGAGGATGCCTGGGGATTGGTCGCCTGGAAGACCAGTATTTCCCATGGAGGGTAAGGCTGGCCTGGGCAGGCTTGAGGGTATGTCGCAGTAAGTGCTCAGTATGCAATCATGTTAGGACCAGGGTCACACAACATGCTCCCCTTTCTGGGTCATGGCCGCCCTCCTGCTGTGGTGTGTTCTGCCACTACACACTGCCATGGCACATGGGGAGACTCCTGGATGGTGGCAGTGGCGCAGTAAATCCCGCACCAGGCCCTCAGGGCTCTCTGTCTTCACTCCAGTGGTGAGACAGGTTCTCCTGGGGCCTGTGGAGTGAGAGGTAATAGCTCACTCAAAGGTCTGTTCCTGTGAGAAGTCTCATGAGAGGTGGCGCCTATAGCTCAGTGGGTAGGGCATCAGCCATATACACCAAGGCTGCCACCAGCCTGAACCCAGCCAGGGCCAGCTAAAATAATGACAACTGCAACAAAAAAATAGCTAGACATTGTGGTAGGCGCCTGTAGTCCCAGCTACTTGGGAGGCTGAGGCAAGAGAATCGCTTAAGCCTAAGAGTTTGAGGTTGCTGTGAGCTGTGATGCCATAGCACTCTATCGAGGGCAACAATGAAACTCTGTCTCAAAAAAAAAAAAAAAGCCCCATGAGAGACTGTCCCTGGGAGGTGGAGCAGGAAAACCAAGGCACAAGTGTTGTATCAGCAAGCCCAGGCTCCAAGAGGCTCCAAAGGGTGAGGTATTTGAAGAAGTCAGCAAGCCAGGAGCTGTTTATGGAGGCCCATGTCAGGGAATGCTTTACAACGCAGGATGTTTAATATTTAGATTGCCTCTCGACAGCCACCAAGTGAAAAAATAAAGGGTCTTCTTAGGGGGCAGTGTGCAATTAGACAAAAAGGCTTATTTTAGAATTAAAGGGGAAAAAGAATCTTTTTTAAATTGTAGTTTGTCTCAGTAATATTTAGTAGTCCTTCAAGTTGTACTAAAAAAAAGAGGGTTTTTTTTTTTTTTAGTACAGAACATTGTTCATGGTACAAAAAATGTATTATGAAAAATGTCTCCTACCGTTGTTCCAGATGCAGCACAGGTGCTCATTTCTTATCCTCTTGTCCGAGTGATAGTCTCTGCAGAGCGATGTGTGCATGTGCACGTTTGAGTACATGCATGTGTGTGCATGTGTGAAGGTGTGTGCATAAGTACTTTATTAGAAAGCAGGATTTTAATAATGTCTTTAGAATTTATGAAAAGCATTTTATAAAAACACTTATAAAAATGCAAAAGAAATACTTGATTTGAAAAAAATTAAGATTCTATTTGTGAAGAACCCACTGCGATATGACTTGAAGCACTCGGTGTTTAGGGACTGTGTTGGTCCTCCCCTTGGCTGCTGCCTCTCCTGGATCTCTGTGGACTCAGCTGGCTTTGACTCCTTTGATCCTGCCTCTCTTGGATCTCTGTGGACTCAGCAGGCTTTTGACTCAGTGCCTGTGGCTCAGTGGGTAGGGCGCCGGCCCTATATACCGAGGGTGGCAGGTTCAAACCCGGCCCTGGCCAAACTGCAACAAGAAATAGCCAGTCATTGTGGTGGGCACCTGTAGTCCCAGCTGCTTGGGAGGCTGAGGCAAGAGAATAGCTTAAGCCCAGCCCAGGAGTTGGAGGTTGCTATGAGATGTGACACCATAGCACTCTACGAGGGTGATAAAGTGAGACTCTGTCTCTAAAAAAAAAAAAAAGAAAAAGAAAAAAAAACCTGTCAGTGGAGGCTCTAAGACAGTGGTTCTCAACCTTCCTAATGCTGCGACCCTTTAATACAGTTCCTGTGGGTCACAACCCACAGGTTGAGAACTGCTGCGAGAACAAGTTGAAATGGAGACTTTAAACTTGTTGAGAAAAAATGTTTGTACAGTAGAGTTGTTCCCAAGGTGTTTGGTGCTTGTCAGTCTGTTCCAGAGCCTGAAAATGTCGTCGTCTGTGAGGAAGGGACAGTCAGGCACCAGGCAGTGGGCAGCGCACCAATACTTTAAATGCACTACTTGTTTTCTTGGTAATCGCTCCTGCTCTCTCTTCACCTTTCCTTTTAACAAGGACTTCTTTTTGTGGGGAAGCTCAGGAAAGCAGCTTGGTTTTAGATGAATGAACACTGAGAAAGGCCTCTCCACCTGCCCTCACTTCTCCATATCAGAATGTAGATCAGTCTGAAGTCTGACCTGGCCCTTTCGCCTGCTGTGGCGCCTGTGTGGGCCAGGAGCAGAGGCTGCTAGAGCCTGAGGCAACTCAAGGCTCCTGTCCAGCCTGCTTGCTCTGACTCCTCATGAACAAGTGTCCTTCCCCACATTTGTACCATCAGGGAAAGGGCACTCTAGCCTGTCCCTGTGAAGGCTGCACGTGATGCCAAACACTGTCTTCCCCGTTGCCCAACTGGTGAGCGCTAAGTATTTGTGTAAAGGAGTGGGCTTGTCCCTTTACCCCCTTTTGGTTGGAGAGTGGGAAGATTGGGTGCAGAAAAGGTAGGATTGTGGCAGTAGCCTGGCTTGGATCCACCTGTGGAGTCCAGTTTCTTCTGCTCTACTCACTTTTAAAAAAATTACAGGTGGCTGGGTGTGGTGGGTCACGCCTGTGATCCTAGCACTCTGGGAAGCTGAGGCAGGTGGAGCTCAGGAGTTCGAGACCAGCCTGAACTAGAGGGAGACCCTGTCTCTAAAAATAGCTGAGTGTTGTGGTGGGTGCCTGTAGTCACAGCTACTCAGGAGACTGAGGCAAGAGGATTGCTCAAGCCAAGAGTTTGAGGTTGCTGTGAGCTACGTTGACCCCATCACATTCTACCAGGCAACACAGTGAGACTCTGTCTTAAAAAAAAGAAAATTACAGGTGATTTTTACTTTTTAAGTAATCCTCGATGAGGGATATATCATATCATTTAGAAAGTATTTCAGAAAAGAAAAAAAGGTATAGCTTTATTT